TTTAAGAACTGATGAAAAGGAATTCATAATGAAAGTGTGCGAGCTTAGGTTTATATAATAATAAAATTTCCACTGAGAACACAGTACGTGTGGGAATCGTACATTAAAATAAGAGAAAACAAAAATTTACGTCTAGTCATTGAATCGGCGATGACGTTCGGAGTACTTCCGCTTTGACCTACTCCCCTATCACACTGCCGGTTGTTTTGTCATTTACAAACAATGCTTTCGCATTTGCGTATCCTTTCACGAAAATGGTTAATTTCATTCTTCATCGTCATTTGTATTACATGCGCTCGTGCAACAATCGCCGTAAATTTTCGCTAGTGCGCTTCGATGGATCTTCGTCGTGTAAGTCGTAAGATCTGTGCCAAAAGTTCAAGAAACTTGATAAAAAGCTATGTCCATAATATTGGAAAATATTCTCAAAATTGATATTATTTCAACATTAAAATGTTCTTAAAAATTTATTAACAATTATACGAAATTTTATCATCGTTGAGTTTATATTTTATTATGCATGCAATAAACATTTTGCAATTCCACATAAGAACTCACGAGTAATTTTTTTAACAGCCCCGCAAAACTTCTAAACTTCTTCACAGTGTTTTATTAATGTAATATGTAATCAATGTTATTTGAATACTGCGTCATTGCCTTTATTTAAGTCTCATATTACTTTAAAAGCGTTATTCGTAAAATTCCATTGTTGCAATGAAATCGTACAATTATGGGAAACTCATAATTTATTCATTTCGGGCAGAATTGGAATGTAAATATCATTTAATTAATTAATCAATCGTGAGTTTGGAAAATGTACGATTTCCTCTAAACACGAATGATGGAATCATATAAATCGTGACAGAAATTGAATTTCAAATGTCTCATCGTTTATTCGTATAAATTATTGAAACAGGAGTTCCAAGATCTGGGGTACATCGACTTATGACTTAGTATTCTACGTTTAATTATTAGTAATTGCGTAATAATATCCTTGAACAAGGTACTCCATATTTTCGTAGACGACCGCTGGGAAAACTTGTGCCCATTTACGCTTACAATCGCCGGATATCCAGGTCGATGCTCGATGACCTGGCTTTCTGACTCAGTGACGTTCGGTAAGAAACTTCGGTGTCCGAAGCCAGTTACGCAGGTGGATTTTATCTATTACTTAACAATGATTTTTCCTATTAATTACATCTTTTTAAATTAATCGCTTTCTATTATTGTATTTTTTATAATACAGAGAGTTACAGTACATACTATATTTAATGGTTCATAAGATTCATTGTATTCTATTTGTCATACATGAATTATTTTTATAAATATAATTCTCGAATTCTTTCAGCTTTAATTAGAGTAGTGATTTACTAGAAACCGAGATATCAATTTTAGAAATATTGTAATACCTCAGTAGCTACAGTAAACCAATTTGAATATAGTGGACTAAAGTTAAAGCTGAGAGTCCAGAGAACAATAATTCAATTTTTGTTTCATTTCGATATCTGTTTCAACATTTTCTCATTCTTTTTATTCCTGTCTCATGTGTTTCTAACAGGAGAATATAAGAAACGAAAGGGTATCTTTAACTGGTACCGATGACGTCGCAATACCAAGAATTTCTAATCATAAAATTTAAAGTGTTCAGAACTAATTAATAGTAGTTATAGGGCTAGTTTTTAGAATTTCTTGATTCGGCACTTTTCTTTTATTGTACCAAGTTCCTCCATGATGATTCTTGTTAAGGATTTTGATTAGATAATGCTAGGATTGCTGTGAAGGTCATTAAATAAAGAACACTTAATACAATTTGATTATACTCTTTATTCACAATTCTAGTACACTATGTGAAGCAAAATATACGAGGTTTGTAAGTAACTTTTTATACAAATAATATGTTATTGTTATATATACAAGCATGACGGTATAAATCAAGCCTGGCCAACCGAAATGGTTTCACGGGCCGCACAATTTAACGTGAGGGACCGTGTCTTGGCCAGACCTGATATAAACTTCCGTAGAACGAAGTAACTAAAGCCAGCTCTGTCTCACGATTTGCACTGCAGGTTCCGTTGGAATAAAGATCAATATAGATCACTGATCCTGTATCTGTAGTGATATTGGCAAAGCCATCATGTAATAAATAAAGAATTATTGAACTGATCACTAATCCTGCAGTACTGAACGCCATGCTGAACGCGGCGACGCGGTGCCATCGGCGTTCGATTGCTGGAAACGTGCCAGCGTACGAGATGGCAGCACGTAATAGAAAACAGCAGTAAAACAGCAGCTGTTGCGACGAAAGCGTGCTTACCTGGACTTTAATTCGCATATTAAAAATTATTAAAATAAACCGCAACACAGTACATCGCGCGGATAAATTTGGTCCCGCGGAAAAATTTATCTTATCGTGCAGATGAATCGTGTAAAGATTAAAATCCGTAATAAGAGTGGGACCAGTTAAATGCCTATCTCAAATTAGACCTGTTGATTGGTATACGAATTTTTTGGATGTACGCAAATCTCTGTTTAGACAGGCTTTCGTTATCTCGTGTAATATAACGGTGCTAAATCACGCTAAGTGAAATCGCTATGAAAAGTGCAGACAACGGTTCCTAAGGTTATGTTCCCGTTTATTCGAATTTCTGTCAATTGTTTATAAAAATCACGTGGAGTAATCAGCACTGGTGTCGTGCATGTCATTCGAAGAACGCGCGAAAATTAATTTATAAGTAAGTACTGTCCTGAATAACAATACATTCTTCGTCTCAGTTGTAACGCAAGACGGTAAGTACGATTAATTAGTTTATTTCGTTCAGGGTTAGCACGTGACCCTTGTTATCTGGTTATGTAACGAGTTTGAAGTCTATTTGAACAACAAATTAATGTACAGTGTATAGTGTTCGTATTAAAGAGTAATACAGGTGGAGTTCATGTAGTTCGAGATCTTTTATTGGAAAGGTATTTATTTTATTCGACGTGTATATATTTTAACAGAAGGCTATACATCTATTCATTGCGGACTCGATACATGCACCGAGCAAAACCGCTGATTGCCTAAGCAAAGCAATTGACCTAGTCGAATACTGGCTTATCCTATTAATTAGACACGGCGAGTTCAAAAGGACAAAACATCTTGTTGAACGTTTATAAAAACGTGTAAAGAAAATCTCTGATAAAAGAGGAACATCGATACAAACGCGTTAGAAAAATGTCTTATCGATTACGCAGCGCGTACGCGCTCGTCGTTCGAATCTTTCTTTCAGTCGCGGCAGTCGTCTTCTTCTTCGCTTGCTTCTTTTTTTTCTGCTTCTTCTTCGATACCTTTTGTCGGCGAGAATCACCGGAATCGTTGTCGGACGACGAACTGTCGCACATAGGAACTATCAGAGGTTGCAATTGTATTTGTGACCGTGTCGATTGAGACTGGGTTTTCGACTTCCCGGCTGTCTTACCGCCGTTGGAAACAGTATTAGCGCCGTTCTTGCGCGATTTCCGCCGGGACTCGACCTTGTGTTGTCGCAGTTGCGCTTTCGTAGGAATTTCGAGCTTCACTAGTTTCAAAGAATCAGCTTTAATCGTCAAAATCGACGTTCGTCCCCGACGAGTTTCTTCCATTCTGGAATTTATGTTCACAATCTTCTGCCACTTGAGAGGAGATTTCTTCTTCCTTGATTTCCGGTCGGCGTCTTTCGATCGAACTCCTACTTCCGGGCTGGTGTCTCTAGAACGCGTTTCATTCTCGCGTTTACATCTTTTCTCGAATTTTCTTGTAACATCTTCTGCATTTTCTTGCGTTGGAACTGCATTAGGAACGCCCCAACTCAATGGTCCCTTCGCGAAAGGATATCCAATCCTTTTGTCAACGTTCTCCGCGATGTTCAACGGAACTCCCATCCATATCTGCTGCCGCAGTGAACTGAGCTTGATTTGTATATCCTGATTTCTCAGTGGAACCGGCGAACGGCGTCCAAACGTTCTACGCACGTCAGCAAACGGATTAAGAATTAATTTCTTAAATAATAATTCTTAATACAATATATTTTTACCTGACTAAGCGGAGACAGTGCGAGCGTGGATTTTTTGATTTCTCTTTCTCGCCGTTTAGATTCTCCAACGACATACTACGAGGTCTCACTATTTCCGGCAACACCAAATCACCTTTGGAGACATCTTTCTTGTCTTCGTCAAAAAATGGAGC